TTATTTTTTACGTAAATAAATAACAATAGTCAAAAACAAACTTATAGCGGCAATGGATTGTAATACTCTATTCATAGGAACTGAGTACAGAAAAAGAGGAAAAGACACACATTAAAAGAAGAGAAATAAAACTGGGGGTAATGTAAAACCAAAAAATGTAAATAAAGTTGATGGTGATATTAAAAATGTACAAATGTACGAATGAATTTTATGGAGTTGAAATACAGTGATGTGCAGCTGAGTCATTTCGTGATTGCGCTGCAAACACATTTATTTTCTCGAAAAGAAAAGACGCGCGCAAACAACGCACGGTTTCCCGCAGGAGCGGGGGACCTCCAACGCCTCGACCGAGCGTCGCCTCCAAGGAGCGAACAGTGAGTGCGCCCTTCAAAACCAGGGCGCGTTTCTATTACTGTTCAAAAAACGAATTTCGTTTTTTGGCACAGGAGCTGCTTTGGAGTACGTATTGAAGTCTTGTGGAAAGTAATGCAACAGTCTTTACAAAATACCTTTTCCAAAAATGTTAACAACATGTATTTTATTAAAGGATGCAACAGACTAAAATAATGTGTGTTGAACAGAACCGTTTAGAATTATTGCTGCTTTATTACTGCAATAGAACGTTGATATTATAATTCAAATTAATACGTTCTTACGTTAAAATGACTAAATTCTCCATCTTGCAAATCCTTTTCTACTATTGTTATTACGTCCTATTGTGAGAACAGGGAGTACAAATTGTAAGGCATGACATCTGGTCCAATGATAGACAAGGAGGCTCGGCGTGGACTTCATACTGAGGGCAGTATGCGTTAAGTTGCACATGCGTCTTCTATCTTCACGCATGCAATTTTATGCAGTCAAAGACTCATCTTGTAGACATGGTCTTAAGAAATATCATAATAAAAATAATACGTTAAACTTCCCTTTCGATAGTTGTAACCCAGACCGTTGTGTAAACATGAAAATGTCAAAATTATATTAAATCAAATTTTCAGGAAAAAATAATTTTGTAAATAATTATTAAATTGTATGATTTAGGTATACAATATTTATCTCTAAAAAATTGTTATATGAAGTTAATCTATTGAAAATACACAATCACAATGTTTGTGATGATAATTATTTTTAATAATCTGCAAATCGCTGCGCGATCGTTAGGACAGTGTCACTTACCTGGCCGTACGATCTAAGTAAAGTATCCACAAAGCCGACTAATACCCACAAAGGAGTAATCGGCTTATTGGCAATCACTTCCCCTGCCTGACTGCAATCTCCAACGAACACCACAAACTTCCTCCCCATTTGCTAAAAACACAAAACAATGCAAAATTGTTTTAATATGGTGGTGTAATGTCAGTGATATTTACCTCGAATAATAATTATTTCATAATTTCGTACATTTCGTAAAATGTGTTTATTGCGATGATAAGACTTAATTATCTATTTCTCTCCATGGGTGCATCTCTCTGGGATGGATACTACAAATATATTTAAAGAGGGCCCTGGTATATATGCTGGCCCTGGTAAGGGAAAAGTTGAAAAACCTTGTTGCTAAATATAGAACAAAATCATCTAACAAGTGGTGTACCAAGATACCATGTTTGGTGGGTTCTTAATACCGTAAAATCGGCAAAACATCCTTCTGTCTGTCCGTCTGTCTGTGTGAGCACAACCCTAGCACATATACCGATTTTCTCCGAACTTGACATTCCCCAATCGCTCTAGCTGATGTCGTGGACCCTGGAATATGAAACTGAAGTTTAAATTTGAGGGTACTTTAAATTTGAGGGCATTTTAAGGGAGAGTACTTTACATGAAGCCACTGAGACATTTTCAATATTTTCATAAAAATGTCTCCAGATTATTTATTAAATTTTCTTGTTGAATGTGCAAAAGACGTTTAAGAGAATGATACAGGTATCATTTTAGTTGACATCTCGGATTTTTCGAAAATGGGAAAAAACTTTTAAAGCTTCAAAATTGAAGGTACAGATTTTTTGTCTCAGACAAAGTCTGTTGAACAAAATTAGCTCTTATAAAAGATCATGTACAATTTTTTGAAAAAACGAGTAGTATTAGCGTATTTTGTAATTGAAATTTAGAATATATTCTCATAAACCACTCCAAATTTTTCCTTTAAATTTTGTTCACTTATGTAATAAGAAACGATAAAAAAATATATAATATACATAATAAATATAATATTATTAAAGAACATTACGGCAAAAATGGCTCTTTTAGCAAGAATTGATATAAAAATGTGCCCATTGTTGGCAGCGCCCATCGCTGAACGCGCTTTGTTGTCAACGCTCATTGATTGAGATGTGTTGATATTTTTTATAACAATATTTTATTTTGCAATTTGTTTGAGTATAAACATTTGGCAAAATTACATACAATTTTAATAACATGAGAGGAGTAAGGTCCATTGACCGTAATCCTAATATTACATTTTTTCAGATTAACACACACTAAACATATTTGATAACTAAACTAAACTAACATACTAAATATACTAAAAATATACGATGATAAGCATATATAATAATAAAACAGAAAATAATATAACAATTTATAGTAGATATGTCAGGTCTAAAGTATGATATCGTTTAAGTTGTCTGGTGGTGTCACTATTGACTAGAAAGTTAATGGCAAGAATATTTTGATGCTTATGTAGTCGTTGAGAGTATTTTGCGCTGGTCTTGTTAATTTCTTCTTTCATTGTTGTCATTTGTAAACTGAATGCTTCGCCTCCCATTTCTCTAACTTCTTTTAACCATTTCCTTCACAAATATCTGCACCAGAAGAGGCAGAAATTTACAACTTCCTAGATGCACCGTTGCAACTAGCTCCACAAATCAAGCCCGTAAGTGCTCGAGAAGTTGAAACATTAATCAAAATTTTATTAACAAGAAAAACTCCCGGATACGATATGATTTTTATACCAATTCTACGCCATTTACTAAGAAAATTGATAGCCTTAATTACTTTCATTTTCAATGCGATTCTAAGATTAGGACACTTCCCCGAGCAATGGAAAATAGCCCAAGTAATAGTCATCCCTAAAACCCGCAAATCAATGCATGAAGTATCATACAGACCAATTAGTCTTCTACCAACACTATCCACAGTTTTTGAGAAACTACTACTGTCACGTTTGAATCCACTTCTACAAGAAAAAGAAATAATACCTCATCATCGATTTGGGTCCAGACAAAGGCATTTGACTATAGAACAAATCCATCGAATAGTAAACGAAATTAGTGAATCGCTACAATATAAAGAATATTGCTCTGCTGTGTTTCTCGACATTAGCCAGGCTTTCGATAAGATCTGGCACCCAGGTTTATTGTATAAAGTTAAGCAAAACGTACCATATCCTTCCTATCTTTTATTGAAATCGTACCTCACGGAGAGATATTTTCAAATAAAATTTAACGGTTTAACTTCAGAACTTATCTCTATAAATTCCGGGGTGCCTCAAGGAAGTGTGCTTGCACCTATCCTTTACTCAATATACACTGCCGACATTACAGCAACCGTTGTTGGTATAGTTTGAAGTGTTGATATAGACAGAAATGCGATATAATATTATTACATAACCGTTAATAACGGGCGAGAAAGAATGTGCTGTTTTAGCACCACTAGTTTTGTAATCATAGAAGCTTACTGAGTTGCATAAGGATAACGTGCATGATTGTTTATTATCTTATTACTCACTTCAATGGCAAAATCACTTAATCGTTGCGTACGTATGGTAATACTACATACGTTGTTCGATTGATTGTGTCGAGAAGAAAGAAACTGGTCTACATGTTAGAGATCTTTCACAAAATAGTAGTTTTCAAAGAATTTGACAAGAAAATAATGAAGTACTTATTTATTTATTTATTTGTTAAACGTAAAAACTCAGTCAAAAACTGTATGTGATGTAAATGCGGAAAATAAAATATTGTGTTCGATCATTACCATAGACATTTTTTGTAGATATCTTTTTTGTGCATCGATATAGAAACACTTTATATATATAAATTTATCATTAAATTACTATTTACGATTAAATTACTTGAAATTGCATTGTTACTTATATTCTTTAATTCATTTTAAGCTTTCCTTTTGTTATTTCGCCGTCTCGGTAGTAAATGAATTTTTTTTCCATAATTTGTATAAAATGATCAGTACTTACTTTAATACACGAAGGCATGTTGAAGGAAGAACTATCGTTTCTTCATGTATCCGAACAATATTACTAAACCTAGAATCTAACAACTTGCACGAGCCCCTTTTCCGCGCAAGAACACGAAGCACACTCAAAGCACTGACGGCAAATGACAGCCGAGTGAGATTCTCCGATAAACAGATCTGCTAACACGGTCCCTTCCGCCAACTTGGTGAGAGGCAGAAGACAAAGTAAAGAGTTCTCGAAGAAAACTGTACTCTTTCATTAGTGATAACGGTTCGAGTTGAAGAAGAAATTAGTTTACATTTATTACGCGCTTACTTATTTCATAAATTTTAATCAACCATAAAATATTCGTTAAACTTTAGTAATAAATAATTAATTCTAACATATTAGCAAAACTTAACCATTTGCTGTGTGTAACTGTGTGTAACTTTACGTTTCCCGCTTTTTTTTCATATCAAAAAATAAAAAATGAAAAATTACATCTTACGTTCTACCGTACTTGGTTTTCGTACTCGAAATTGAATTGATAATTTGTTATTGGAATTGATGTAAAATATGTAATGTTATTTAAAATAAGTATTTCAAGATTATGACTCGTTAGAAGAAAGACAACATTAGGGCGTTAGTATTACTCTAAATGTCC